CCCGGTGACCCTGCCTCCTCCCCACAACTTGCTGTCCCCTTTCCCTCCTCTCCCTTCCTCCACTAGGCCTGAGTTCCCCAGCAGGCTATGCGTGGGTGGGTGTGACGGTCGGAGGGAGACCTCAGTGAGGACATCTCCATCTGAAAGCCTTCCCAGAAAGCAACTGCCTTCCTGCACCAGGACCATTTCTGCTCTCTCCACAGGGCAGCCCTCCAATTTCCTGCTTCCTTCTCCCCCTCACCCCACCTCCCCACATGGTTTTTTGAGCCCCAGCCTCCACCTGCACCCCCAGGCCCCCAGCCCCTCCGCCCTCAAACCCAGGAGTCCAGGTCCCCAGCCCCTCCTTCCTCAGACCCAGGACTCTAAGCCCCCAAGAACTGTCTCCTCCCTCAGTAGCCCCCCTCTTTTTCTAAATCGTAGCAAAATTCACAAAACATAAAATTAACCATTTAAAAATATACAATTCAGTGGCATTTAGCACATGCAGTGTTGTGCAACCAGCACCTCCATCTAGCCCCAGAGCTTTTTCATCTCCCCAGAAGGAAACCTGGTCCCCATTGAGCACCACCCCTCCCCATCCCTCCTCCCCCCAGCCCCTGGCCACAACCTAACTGCTCTCTGTGTCTGTGGATTTGTCCACTCCGGACATTTTACATAAAGTTGGGTATTGAAACCCTTGGGTCCTCCAGGTGCCGATGAATTTTGCTAAAGAGCCACGTGCAGGCCTAGAGGCTGCTCTGGTTTGTAGATACCTGGGCTGCACAGTCTTGTTGTGTCACTAGGTCCTCCATTAAGAAATACAAGGAATTGATTGGGAATGCCAGTGCGAGATAAGGGGACAGAGAACAGGGACAGGCAGTGAAAGCCTTCAGGCTGGGACATGGGTCAGCCACCTATAAAAGGAGAGGGGAGGGTAGTCACTGGTTGGAAGAGCTTCAGACCGTGGCTCAGCTCTGCAAAAGCCCACCCGGCCCAGCCCAATGGGCAGATAAAGTGCTAAGATTTCCCGTCTGCACGTGTCCGTAGAAACAGAAAGTAGATGGGTGGCTGCCAGGGGCTAGGGGAAGCGGTCTGTGATTGCTTAATCACTTCCTTTGGGGAGCTGAGAATGCTTTAGAAAGAGGTGACAGTTGCACAGCAGTGTAACTACTAAAGGCCACTAAATTATATACCTTCAAAGGGCTGAAGTGGTGAATTTTGTGTTATGTGAATGTGGTCTCAGTTTTTTTCAAAACTAGATTGCCTTTGCCCTGGCCAGTGTGGCTCGGTGGTTAAAGCGTCAGCCGGTGCACCAAAGGGTCACGGTTAAGGGCACGTACCAGGGTTAGAGGTTCGATTCCTTGCACCAGTTGGGGCACATTTGGGAGGCAACCAATCGATGTGTCTCTCACATCAATGTTTCTCTCCCCCTCCCCCCCC